CTTGGGGATGTGACTGCAGTTGCAGCCCCCGGGCTTCGTAGGCACCTTCCCTCCACTAGCGACTTGGGCAATAACAGCATTTTTAATGCAATTTTAAATGTTGCATGTAATAACCTCTACTCAACAGTAAACAGCAACTGAAAGACCTTTCACTGAAATATTTTCATTCATTTAGCAGGCTAACAAGAAGCAAACAACAACATGGGGCAACTAAGATCAATGAAGGAGTCAGATGCAGCTAGATCAGGTCAGTTTATATTTCTGGTATCTGCAATGGTGTTCACAAGTTTACCTACATCAGTCAAATGTACGACCCTAAAGCATACCAACTGTAAGAAATTGTAAGTAACTCAACAATATGTTTGTATCTCTTATCAGGACAAACAAGAAACACATTAGACACCGGAAGATTAGTGGAGGAAGTGAAATACATTCAACATGGCAGGTCAGTCGAAGTTTTTCTTTATCTGTAGTCAGTGGACTAGTGTATCACCACAATTTTAATCACTTTGAGAACAGGTACAGTGTACATGTACCATGTATTTTGGGGTGTGAGTTTGAAAATTAGTTTATTGTACAATAATTATTTCCTAGTTGCTAATTTTCTCTGTTTTCATCATTTATCTGCTTGATAAAGTATTGAAATAATTTGCATGAAGAAAATTATTGACAACTGACATATGGCTCCAAATTTTTATTGACAAATCATGCTATGATGTTGTCATCTTCAATGACAACTAACAAATGATTCCAAATTTTATCTCACAAAATAGTACTTTGATATCAAAATCCTTCCTGATGACTGACAGATGATGTCAAATTTTAACTGACAATCATGCTTCAATCTTAACATCTGCACTGACAACAGACCAATGATTCCAAATTTTATCTGACAAAATCCTGATTTAATCTCAAATCCTTCCTGACGACTGACAGATGATTCGAGATTTTCATCGACAAAATCATGTTTTAATCTCAATGTCCTTAATGAGAAATCCTGTTTTTATCTCAACATCCTCACTGAGAAATTGTGCATCAATCTCAACTTCCATATTGAGTAGTTCCAGAAAATATCCGTACCTTCCCCACGGAAAAGATTTTTTCTAAGATCTCCCTGCCCCACCCCTTTGGATATTCCAGTTACCGCTAAACTTGATACGTATGGGTTATTGACCAAGTGTGAGGTCAACATGGCTGGATATTGGCCAAGTTCTTTTTTTTTTTTNCGAACAAGCTTGGTCAATAAAGGATTTATTATATGGCGTTCGGGGAAATTTTTCTTGCGGGACACGGCAGGTAGTCCTGAGCGGGCAAGATAGCTCCATCTTGCCTGCTTGGCAGCCAAACACAGCGCAGGATTTGATTCATCTTGCCTGCTCATGGAGCTAGCCATATAATAAATTTCTTTACTGAAATGTTCTGATCTTAGAGAACCCGCCTCCCCCCAGAAATTTCCAATCCCTTCTGTGGGTGGAGTACAGTACATGTGTATCCATGGATATTTTCTGGAATTGCACAGCGACAACTGACAGATGATTCTAAGTTGTAAGTGAAAAATTGTGTTGTGATATCCATGTCCTACTGACAACTGACGGATGGATCCAAATTATTTTTTAACACTGATCTGTAATGGTATTGACCACTGATACATGAATTGAATATTTAAGCGGCCAATCATATTTCATTTGCTAAATCCTTCCTGGGACCTGACAGATGGCCTGAGAGTAACTGACGGGCAAGTCCTCCTTTGATCTCAGCATCATTGTTGA